CACCATCCCCGCAGCTCCCGGGACCGCCTGCAGCAACACGGTGAGCGTCTTGCCCTCCGCCCGCCCGTCGCCCTGTGCCAGCCCCAGGCAGCGCTTTGGCTTTTCTCTGTTTTACCCCAATTGCATCAGCTGGCTTTCCGGCCTTTTGCGTTTTACGAGGTGCATTGCTGGGATATGTATTAGAGACTGTGAAAGCAAAAAAATCACATCTCACTGACGGATGGGTAAAATGACTTTTGTGATGGCTCTTACTGCCGGTGGGAAGACACTTCTGGTCACCGCAACCGACACCTCCGCGCCTGTCTGTGCAGGGAGGGTTAAGAATGGAGGAGCAGTGATTTCTCAGAACAACCAGCACTACAAGAAATTAAAAGGCAAGCAGAGAGGTTTATTTTTTTTATCCAATATATATAATTACCAAACTAGCTTCTGCATTCAGGACTTTGAGCTCCAAAGTTGATAAAAGGGACCCCAGCAGGCTGGCTCACAGGGACAGTCTAATCTACAGATCAGAGGTGTCTAATCTAGAGATCAGAGGTTTCTCAGAAGCTGAGCTACTGTCCAGTGAGGGTTACATGTGCTCATTTACAGCAAAAGGTTATGAACCGGCTAGATTAAAAGGTCATCTTGTTTAAGGCACAGCACCATTGTGAAAATTGACCCTGTATAATGTAACTTTTTGGTTTTCTACAGTTCTAGACAATCCTAATGAAAACTGATGGAATTGCTCATTTTTTTTTCTGGGGGAATTGCTTGGCCTTCACTGCTAATGAAGACAATACTGGCACGAGGAGCAGTGTCTATAAACCAGCCAGCAATAAGGCTGGAAAAAGATTTCTAGGAGAGAGATTGTAAAGAGAGAGACCCAACCGGAGAGGAGACGGGGCACAGCAGGCTGGCAGGGGGTGGCTGCTTGTAGTGGTAAGCGGTAATACAAACACTCCATTCAAATCCAGGAAAGCAGCAGCAGAAATAACCCAGGAAAACTGTTAGATTCCAGGATAAATTTACAGAAAGATATAATTTTATAAATAGAAGAGATGATCCCGAGTTTGTCACCGAAACGAAGGCAGTGGGGGTATTCAGCCACCTTGCAAACCCCAGGAGCAAGCCCACCACTGCCTGATTGCTGGCAGTCATTGCCTCCAGGTAAGATGCCATTTAGGATCCATTTTTCTATATCTCTCTCATTCCTTCAAATACTAAAAATCTCTTCCAATTCCAAGGCCAAAAAACCCCACGACAAGAAACCAGCATATCAGAAGGCCTCCAGAAGGAAAAGAGAAGATTCAAGTATTGGATGTCAGCAATTACAACAGGACATGGAGCTGTCACAAACATCTTTAATGATATGCGTTGTCCTTCACTCTTGATGGTTCACCATGTGAATGGTAGATTGTTCACGGCCTCCCAGAGTTTTTAAACTAAAGACATTTGTTTTGTTTCTGTCTTGGAGCGGGTGATTAAAATGCTTGTAGGGGGATAAACATACAACCAGAAGAGGACAGCACAGCAGCAAGTACTCTCAAACATGCTCAGCCTTTGGAAAATCATGGTAGTTTTTTTTCCCTCCTGCAGACATTTGCACATGTCACCATCCACTTAGCAATTCCACTCTCAAAATTATCAAAAAAATCAACCACTTCCCATTTAAAATTTAACTCAGTTGTAGACAATATTTTGTGAATAAAACATCAATAAAAACATATTATTCAGCTACTGTTTGGGAAGAAAAGAAAGGAAGGGTGGGAATAAACGTATGCCTTTTTCTAATATTTTTGGTTCATGAAAAGAGAGGGCCTTCAGTCAGGTCTCTCATCTTTACAGAGAACATAATCACAAAACAAAATTTCCTGCTAATGCAAGCTGAAGTATACAATGGAAATCTCTTTCCAGACAGGGAATTTAAAGATCTCCCTAGGCTCTGAACTAAATCAGTAGTTATCTAGAACTGAAACCTTAGCAAAAAACATCACCAGAACACATCAGGTTGTATAGAACTTACTAGCAGAAATGTCACTAGCCAAGACACGGTAGTACTGGAAAGGATAGCAGCTATTTGATTAGCGAGAGAAGCCATTCCTGAATTATTTACTCATTTTGTCTTATTCCTTCCAGGAAGCATTCTTGGGCAAGGATTTCAGAGTAAGGTTCAAGGGCAACAACTACTTATGAACGGAAATATGCAGAGATATATATCCACCAGTTTCTGCATCCTTTACAATTTGCTATTTTCAACAGAAGAAACTAGAAATTGTTGGATTCTCTCAGTTTTACCTCATAAACACAGCGAAGAAAAAGAGCCCAAAAGCTTCAAAACAACTCTCTGCCCTTTTATTGTGATGCATATGTTGCTCAATGCCACAAAATCTTTCTTATTACTTCAGTTGCACAGGGTGACTTACTTGGTGAACTTCCAACCAAAAGAGTCTCAGAAGAGCACGTCTAGATTTATTCCCCCTCTGCAGTTTCTAGGAGAAATATGGATTGCTATTGCAGTATTACTGCAGAAAAAAGCAATTTGATTGCTGGCATATGTCAAGAAATCACTGTGAATGCATTCTTTCAATCTATTCCCTATATAATAGCAACAGAGTACTCTAGGTAGGCAGTTATTCGAAGGCTGTGGCCACCCTCAGCTTTCTGAAGTTGCTTGGTCTTTACTGCATGAATCTCCAAGAACAGCCCCTGCCACGTGTACTGGCAGACCGAGCACCAGTGAAACCCAGGCTTTCAGAAATGAAGAGTAGTGATTAAACTGAAGAATTACGAAGGTTCATAATTGTAGATGAATATGAAGAAACTTCTCACAGGAACCTAAAGGCAAATAGAAGTGTGGAATGTACATGGATAGCCAAGCAAGATGCCTCAGCAATAAGAAACTTTAAAATTAAAAAAAAAAAAAAAATTCAAAGTCTTTTTTCACTTTTGTGACTGCCTGTAGTTTTGTGCTGTAGTTGTCTGTGCAGACACGTGCTGGGAAGGTGAGGATCAGGCACACTTTGCAGTGCTTGCCACTTGTGAGAAGGAGCTGAAAATGTTAAAAACACATGAAAACAACGCTCATCCTATATAGTTCTCTAATGTTCCCAGTTTGCAGGCTGGCTCAAATTTTGTCAGGAAATACCATTTGTGTCTCTACCATCTCTGAGAAGACTGACACTGAAATAAAACCCAGATGCACATGTTAAGTGACCTGTAGGGCCTCAGCCTTTTGTACAGATTTAATGATTCAGGTCTTAAACCTTCCCTAGCTTCCACCCCCAAAGATACAGGAAAGGCCTGGGGGCAGGGGGGGGAAACACTCTGCAATTTCTGTGTTAGAATTACAGTGCTCTTTCCAGTTACATGTAGAACTGGAGGTCAGAGAAGTCGTCAAAAAAAAAAAAAGGGGCAGGAAAAATGGTAAGATAGGTTAATTCATTTCAACATCTTCATCAACACAGGTGCCAGATGCTCTTTCAGCTGTGGGTCAATTTGAATGTTGCTCAGTTCTTTGATATTGAGGATCATCTCATGGGCTTGGAAGAAAAGCTCTTTCCCCACAGCATCCTCCACCCGCCTGCGCCACTCCATCAGCCTCGGTCTGTCTTCAAAAATGTCGCAACCAACTCCAACAGGCTGCAGAAAGGGGGAGAGAGCAACAGTGAGGCAGTCACTTCTTCTCCAAGACAACAGGCACCAAAAGTGTACCTGCAGGTGCAGGTAGAGGAAAAAAAATGAAGAAGAGCTCATAGAGGAGCACTAGGAAGGAGGGAAATCTCCTCTGGTTGGGTGTATCTATCTGGGGGACACAGAAGCTAGCCTATATTTTAAAGGGCATTTACAAGTCAATTCCTGAGTGCCAGAACAGTTGTTATGAGCAGCAGAGATGACTACCACTTATTGTGAGTTATCTTCAACTACAGCATTGAAGACGTGGTGGGCTGACAGTTCCAGGGGCAACTGCACAGTCCGCAGTACAGAGTGCTATATTATATAGCAAAACCACAGCACAAAACGCTCAGCATTTAATGGAACTGATGTCTTAGTTGACATAATCTACCCCCCTTCTACTTTCTGCCTGTGCCATGCTCTGGAACACAATGCTGAATGCAGAACTGCTATTTTTCAGTCTCTGGGATACAGAACTGGGAGAAAGAATCACTTCTGGGCTGCAGGATCCAGGCCCTGACAGTCTGGCAGAGAACAACCACTTTGTAACAGACTTAATTTGATTGCCTCTGTCTGAGATGCAGTCTTGCATCTTCCAGACATGGCATGGGCAAGTACCATCCCAAAAAGAATATTCTTGTATGATAAAAATAACCCTGTATCATTTTCTTATTTCATCAGACCTGCCTGCTATTGCTTCTCACTTTTATATATTACCTCCTTCTCCGGAGGTCAAAAATTAAGTCACAATAAAGGATGAAGGAGAAGAAGTATTGTTAGAGAAGAGAAACAAAAGAGATCTGTTGCAGCCATCTTTTTTTTTTAACTGGTTTTCTGAACCCACTCCCATATTCTCCTCATTGTCTTAGGTCAGTTCTGTCGAGATATGCCCTCACTCCTCTTTCTAGTGAAGTGTTACCACATGCTGCACCCCTCCCTGCCCAGCAGCATCTGTTTTCCCTTGTGCTGAGACTTCCTTAGCACACTCCAGCACTCACTTGCATCAGCTCCACAATGGCCACAAGATCTGCCAGAGAGATCTCACTCCCAATGATAAAAGCCTTGTCCTGCAGAAACCTCTCCTCAAATTGCTTCAGGGAAGTGGACAGCCCCTCCATAACCTCCTGGAGCTTCTCGGAGGGCAGTGGCTGCCCTGTGAAGAGGGGAATCAGCACCTGAGGAGAGAAGGGACTTAAGAGTACAGTCGGCCATCTTCTCATGGATCTGGTGGTAGTCATTTAAGTTACACCCCAGGAACTACTCGCAATCATCAGTTATCCTGCAGCAAAGCCGCAGGAGGGGATGATGCTAGAGCTTCATGGATCGCTGCAGTTCCAAGCAGCTCATGGACAGACAGCACACAAGCAGTCCTAAGTGGCTGATCTGCCGTGACAGTAACCTCCAGCTAACGGGCAGCAATGTGCAGAACGAAGCCAAGGATTCGGCTCGTTTTGTGCCTGGCAGCTGTGCCCTCCCACTCCACCTTGGTGGGTTACAAAAGAAAAACAGGCAACAGCTCCAGGGAAGACAAGTCTCTGCCACAATCACCCTTGCTATGTCCTCCATTTCAACAGCCTGCCAAGACAGGTCAGCAGGCTGCCTGCCCACCAGTCACCCCTGCTATCCACCCTGTTGTGTAACTGGGTGCTGGAGGCAGGCAGACAGGCAGGCAGCTGCCTGTCCTGCAGGGTGGTGGAAAGGAGGGCATGGTGGTGGCTGTGGCAGGGGGCCCGGG